GGGTTGATCGCTTGGATGTCCTGGTTCCCGCTGCAGAGAGTCGAACGGAGGTCTTTCGGTAGTCAGCTGTAAGTGTAGAATATCCCCAAGCACGATATAAGCATCAATATCCCGGATCCCTACAACATGAGTCGAGGCTGCAAGTTGAGGGTCAAAACGAACTGGCTTTACTGGCACATAGCATGGCAATTTATGGGATTCCTCAGGTCCAAGGACAGCCCCCTGTGGACCTGATGGAATACAGGTACAGTACAAACAGGTAACCAATCACAGTACACTGTATTATTTGAATTAGTACCCGCCTAGCTGGGAGATAATGAGGCCAACGGTTTTACAATCTAATTATCTCCAAGCGCACAAAAGACCACGTTTTATTATGTCCCAGAAAACTACATAAAAATCCATAACTTGTACATTATTACAGGAAAACCATTCATTCCACCATTCATTTGAAGGCTCGCGTTCGTATAGATAAACCAGGCGAATGCCGCTCTAATCCCACGAACAGAATGTACTGTTTCTGCCGTATAAAGTCCGTTCGGCATTTTGAGATGTTTAGTCTTTGTTGGCGGCCATGTTTTCTGCTGGTTTAGCGAGCAGCGGGACTTCGTGTCTAACTCGTGGAACTAAACTCGGTATCAGTTCATGCGAAGTCCCGCTGTCTGTCTGGTAGTGGGCTCGTTCGGTAAGAGAATGAGGACCACCTGGGAGCAGGGTACTTGACCTGCGGTTAACCGCAGAAACCACAGTTAATGAGCGCCACGCGTCCCGCTGTAGGGGGTCGTCGTTCGGTGGATAGTTCGGTATTTTCCCTTCGGTACTTTGGGTGCGAACGTCGATGCCCCCAGGCATATCAATTACATTGTGGTTAACCGCAAACCGCAGCCATTTGGGTGGTTAATGGCTGCCACACTCCGCGGGCCGGGGGGGTCGACCGTTCGGTAGTTTGCGGGGTGACGGGGTTAAGTGGCGGCACACGCAAGTTTCTGGGGGGTCCCCCGTTCGTACCACGAATGGAGCCTTCATCAGGGTTCACGTAATCCATTCGTGTGGTTTTCTGCTTAACTTATGCAGTGGCAAACAGTATCAATCGGTGAGTTAAAACAGCAACATAGTGTTTTCCAGTCTTTTGTAACAATGCTCCCTCTTTGTGGAACACTCTGGCAGACACTGTCTGACCCCTTTCGGGGCAGACTAAGGCTGTCCAGACTCGTGGGGTTATGCTGGGCTGAGATCTGTTTGCCGGGATAATCCGTCTGCGTTGCCGTTCTGCTTCCCAGGTCGGTAGGTGATTGTAAAATTAAAGGGTTGCAGGGATAAGCTCCAGCGTAACAATCTGCCATTGTCCCCAGCGACCCGGTTGAGCCACACCAGCGGGTTATGGTCTGTAACCAGAGTGAACTCTTGTCCATATAAATAGGGGGTTAACTTCTTTAATGCCCACACCAGAGCCAAACACTCCTTTTCTACCGCGGCATAGCTGACTTCGCGTGGTAGGAGTTTTCGACTGATGTAGGCAATCGGGTGTTCTTTCCCATCATCTCCTACTTGGCTGAGGACAGCTCCCAGCCCGAACATGGAAGCGTCTGTGTGGACAATAAAACGTTGATTAGGGGCTGGGGCAGCCAAGACAGGAGCATTAATCAACGCAGTTTTGAGGGCTTGGAAAGCCGTTTCACAGTGGGGAGACCACAGGACCTGTCGGGGAAGGTTTTTCTTTGTCAGGTCGGTCAGGGGATTGGCAATGGCGCTATACTCCGGTACAAATTTTCTGTAGTACCCAGCGGTACCCAGAAAGGCTAGCACTTGGGTCTTAGTGTGGGGAGTGGGCCAGTTGGCGACCGCTTCTATTTTAGCTGGTTCTGGTCGTTGTTTCCCACAGCCTACCCGGTGACCCAGGTACTGAACCTCAGCCATCCCAAAGTGGCATTTTTCGGGCTTTAGCGTCAGGCCGGCGGCTCGAATCTGGTCTAGGACCATTCCCACATGAGCCAAGTGTTCCTCCCAGGATTCACTGTGGATCGCTATGTCGTCCAGATATGCGCAGGCAAACTCCTGGAAGCCATCAAGGAGTCTGTCCACCAAGCGCTGGAAGGTAGCGGGGGCTGACCTTAAAGTGGTACAGACCGAACGGGGTGACGAAGGCCGACTTGGGGACAGCCTCCCTGGCCAGGGGGATTTGCCAGTAACCTTTACAGAGGTCAATGGTAGTTAGGTAGTTCCCACTGGCTATGCGATCCAACAGCTCATCCACTCTGGGCATGGGGTAGGCATCGGTGACCGTTTTGTCATTGAGTTTCCGGTAGTCCACACAGAATCTGGTGGTGCCGTCCTTTTTGGGAACCAGCACCACCGGGGATGCCCAGGGACTATCAGAAGCTTCAATGACCCCTAGTCGCAGCATCTCGTCTATTTCCTTTTTCATGCCTGTCCTTACTGCCTCCGGAATTCGGTAGGGCGCCTGTCTCAAAGGGTTTTGGCCGGGGGTATCTACTTGGTGAGTGGTCAGCTCAGTGTACCCTGGCTCTTGGGAGAACATGGCTTGTTTCTCTCGGAGCAGTTTGTGTAGCTGCTCCTTCTCAACTTGGCTAAGTCTGTCCCCGATCTGTACTTGGCTCACTATTTCCACCGGGGAGTTAGGGGTTAATAGGTCGGGTATAGGTAAACTATTTGCGTCCTCGTGCGCAGGGCTACATATGGCTGACACTTCCTCGGGTCTCTGCAAGTATTCCTTCAGCATGTTCACGTGAAATATCTTTTTTAAGTTTTCATCGTGACAGCTGGCAATTACATAAGTGGTGTCCCCTCTCTTTTCCACTATCTGGTAGGGACCCTGCCAAGCTGCTTGCAGCTTGTCCGTCTTAACTGGTTTTAGGACCATGACTTTCTGCCCGAGACAGAAGCTTCTTCGCCGTGCCCCCCGGTCGTACCAGACTTTCTGTCGCCCCTGGGCCGCCTGGAGGTTGGCCTGGACTGACTTAGCCAATTGTTCCATTCGGTCCTGGAGCTCCAGTACGTAAGGTACGATGGGGACCCCAGCGTTCTCTGTCTCTCCCTCCCAGTGCTCACGGATCAAGTTCAGGGGACCCCGTACCTTGCGACCGTATAACAGCTCAAAGGGAGAGAACCCGGTGGTTTCCTGGGGCACTTCCCGGTAAGCGAACAGGAGGTGGGGCAGGAAACTTTCCCAGTCCCTATACTCCTGAGTAAAGGTTTTTAACATCTGCTTGAGGGTTCCGTTGAACCGCTCACATAACCCATTGGTCTGGGGGTGGTATGGAGAGCTAAGCAGGGATTTAATTTTGCAAACGTGCCAGAGCTGCTGGGTCAGCTCTGCCGTGAACTGTGAGCCTCTGTCGGATAAGATCTCCCTAGGGAATCCTACCCGAGAGAATACCTGCACTAAGGCATTAGCCACTGTGTCTGCCTGGATATTAGATAAAGCCACAGCTTCTGGGTAGCGGGTAGCGTAATCCACTATGGTAAGAATGTATCTCTTGCCAGAGGGACTAGGGGTGGCCAGGGGCCCAACTAAGTCGATGGCTACCCGGCTAAATGGCTCGTCGATGATGGGCATGTTCACGAGATGTGCCTTGGGGTGGTCTCCTCGTTTGCCTACCCGTTGGCACACCTCACATGTATTACAATAGGACCTTACATCGGCATGTACTCCTCCCAGGTATTCTTCTAAAGGACTGTCTTGTTCCAGGCAAAACGCTCGAGCTGGACGATTGTTTCCCGTTGGAGAAGAATTATAGTTTCGTGCGGGGTAATTGTTGTTAAGGGGGCAACTCGCTATCAGGTGCCCCGGTTGCTTGCACTTATAACATGTGGGTCAGGAGCGTTCCTGAGGGTAGTGGCTGGGTGGTCCCGTGTACCGTGTAGGACCTGCGGGTACAGGGTTGCGAAACTCCGTTCGTGAAGTTGATCGGTATCCCTCTCTTGCTTCGGGGCGAGTTACCGTTCGGGCATTGTTGAACTCCTGTACTTGCGCATCCCGGTGTTCGTCTGCCAACTGGGCTGCTTCGTGTAGGTTAGCGGGACGCCGGTCTTTCAACCACTCCCGGTCTTTTTGTTCCAGACCCTCATAAAAATGCTCTAATAAGAAAAGTTCCAATATTTCCGCGGCCGTGACGGCCTGACACCCGGTAATCCAATGGGTTGCAGCTCTCCGCATACGATGTGCCCATTCGGCATGGGTATCATTCGCTTTTTTCTTCGTGCTGCGGAACTGCCTTCGGTAGGTGTCTGGGGTCACAGCGTACCGTTTCAGCAGCGTCTCTTTTACTGTGGTGTATTGAGCTACCTCTTCGGCGCTGAGGGTTCTGAAGGCTTCCATGGCCCGCCCGGTTAATTTTCCTGCCAGGATACGTGGCCACGCTGCGACGGGGATCTGATGCAGGGCACATTGTCTTTCAAAATCGGCCAAAAATTAGTCTATCCCCATCTCATTCTCCGCGAACGGTTTGAATGCCGCGAACGGGATCTTTGGCTGTTCGGTAGTTTCCAGGGGGCCGTTGTGGCTATCAGCGGTCTTCATGCTCAGCTCGTGGGCTCTAGTCCGCTGTACGTCCGCCTCGGCTTCGGCCATTAGTTGCTGTATCAGCTCCACGGATGGGTTTGGTCCGTACAGAGGCAGCCTTTCTCGGACGATCCTGGTCTTCTCATCGCTGCATGTTGCCGTTGGTTCTGCCATTGTGAAGCTTTGATCCAACTCGTTCAGGTCGGCAATCAATTCTCTCCACGGCCGGTTACTTGCGTTCCCTTCACGGCTCTCGAGTAAATTCTTTAACGTGGTACGCTTCAGCTTGTCGTAGTTACTCTCCATCCGTCCTAGATATCTCTCTTCAGGAATTCCAGGATGATCCCGCTGCTGCCACCAATTGTTACGATTGCCCCCGGTCTAGCAGGAGGGTTGATCGCTTGGATGTCCTGGTTCCCGCTGCAGAGAGTCGAACGGAGGTCTTTCGGTAGTAAGCTGTAAGTGTAGAATATCCCCAAGCACGATATAAGCATCAATATCCCGGATCCCTACAACATGAGTCGAGGCTGCAAGTTGAGGGTCAAAACGAACTGGCTTTACTGGCACATAGCATGGCAATTTATGTGATTCCTCAGGTCCAAGGACAGCCCCCTGTGGACCTGATGGAATACAGGTACAGTACAAACAGGTAACCAATCACAGTACACTGTATCATTTGAATTAGTACCCGCCCAGCTTGGAGATAATGAGGCCAACGGTTTTACAATCTAATTATCTCCAAGCGCACAAAAGACCACGTTTTATTATGTCCCAGAAAACTACATAAAAATCCATAACTTGTACATTATTACAGGAAAACCATTCATTCCACCATTCATTTGAAGGCTCGCGTTCGTATAGATAAAACAGGCGAATGCCGCTCTAATCCCACGAACGGAATGTACCGTTTCTGCCGTATAAAGTCCGTTCGGCATTTTGAGATGGTTAGTCTTTGTTGGCGGCCATGTTTTCTGCTGGTTTAGCGAGCAGCGGGACTTCGTGTCTAACTCGTGGAACTAAACTCGGTATCAGTTCATGCGAAGTCCCGCTGTCTGTCTGGTAGTGGGCTCGTTCGGTAAGAGAATGAGGACCACCTGGGAGCAGGGTACTTGATCTGCGGTTAACCGCAGAAACCACAGTTAATGAGCGCCACGCGTCCCGCTGTAGGGGGTCGTCGTTCGGTGGATAGTTCGGTATTTTCCCTTCGGTACTTTGGGTGCGAACGTCGATGCCCCCAGGCATATCAATTACATTGTGGTTAACCGCAAACCGCAGCCATCTGGGTGGTTAATGGCTGCCACACTCCGCGGGCCGGGGGGGTCGACCGTTCGGTAGTTTGCGGGGTGACGGGGTTAAGTGGCGGCACACGCAAGTTTCTGGGGGGTCCCCCGTTCGTACCACGAATGGAGCCTTCATCAGGGTTCGCGTAATCCATTCGTGTGGTTTTCTGCTTAACTTATACAGTGGCAAACAGTATCAATCGGTGAGTTAAAACAGCAACATAGTGTTTTCCAGTCTTTTGTAACACAATCTTTTACGTATTTTATTGTATTTTACAAACACTTTTACTAGTATTATTCCTGGCTTTTTTTTTATCTTTTTCTATTAAATTTATTTTTAATCGTATCCCGTCCCAAGAAATCCTTAGGTGGGGATAATTCCACCAGCGTTGTGGCAATAGAGCAGTATTTTCTGCTCTACTCTTGTGAGTATATTTTATTTTATTTTATTTATTTTATTGTTCTTACTGAGAGCACTATTTGCTGTTTCATATATCTTGTGGAATACGACGGAACCCAGACGGACCTACCCTTCTAGTATATCCTGTAGTGGGGATTATACCACTAAGTGCCCTTCACCCCAGAGCTGGCCCTAGCTCCACCAAATGTGAGTGTACAATCCTCCGTTTGACTTATTTCTACCCTGGGATCTACAATATTTCACCATTGGCAGTTTATTTGTGTTCTCTTTTATCTCATATACGGATTATCTACAACCCGGACGGATCAACTCCTGAGGATTGTACTCATACCCTATCCATATATCAGTGAGACTGTTCTTATTGATTTTATTTAATATTTTTCTTATCATTTGATTTTATTAAGACACGGAGGCTCCTATTATGCTGCACTCTTTCTTTATTTTCCCTCAGCAGCAAAGAATTTTTTTTTTTTTTAAAACGTAATCAAAGGTAACAATAAACAGTCTGAGAGGAGTATCCTAGCAACAGGAACAGCCAATCGGATTCCACTCTCCAGCATAATAGGCTCTGTGAACCAATCCAATTCCTCTTTCTTTGCTGCTCCCTCAGTTAAGTAACATCAGATCCCATGGTTTATTAACTGTGGGATCGTCATTTTACATTTTATATTGCTGTTTATATTGCTATTTATTTATTTATTTAATACTACTTCTTTAAATTGTTTTACTATACTACTTTAAATCGCTTGTTTTAATATTATGTGTTATTGCTCTTGATGGTTAAATTTTTGAGGGTTATTGAATTTTTTTCAACTAGTCCCCTCATAGCTTAGTGTTTTCTGCCTGTCACTTGGCTGGCTTCCTTAACCCTGAGCCGGTGAGTTTCACCGTGCTCGGGGGGTTTTCTATTTCCCAACCCCGTCCGACCGTTGCTGAGGCGAGCGCGCGCGCTCCCCTCCCTGCACCCATTCACCTCTTGTCCCGCTGTTTAGATACCCGCGTTCGGGTATTTGATGCGAACGCACTCTAGGCATTGCGTTCGCACCACGAATCCACATTACCAGTTTTTCTCGCGGTCTAATCCGCGAACGCATTCCTCCATTGACACAGACGTTCGCCTATGCGAATGCTTCTGTCCCATCCCCGTTCGGGATTTTCTCACTGTTTGCGGCGGCCATTTAGTGTTTTCCCGCGCCCTGCCACTAGCACTGCCCCCCACAGACCGGAACTCTGAGTTGGGAGCTAGTGCTAGTGGCGGTCGGACGGCTTTTCTCTCTCTACGGTACCTGTATTAATTCTATGAGTGAACACTTTATTATATTATATTGTACTGTTTTTTCCTTTCATATATTCTGTCAAATATTATAGATTCCCTCCTACAGGGTTACTCAACCCTCCCCTATAGGTTTTGTTGCCAACAGGTTATCATTTTTCAGATTCATATATAATCCTGTCAGTCACTGTCATAACTATGCCTTCTGACAAGGATGCTCCCTCTGGGTCTATTAACCCTGACAGGGCTGGTTTTCAGGCACCTTCAGGTGTATGTGATGATATGGCGGTTCCACCCGCTGAGCTTGATACCCCTGCTGTTATGCAGACCTTGATTGATGACACCATGTCACAGGCTATGACTAAAGCCCTCATGTCGGCCATGGGACTAATGTCTGATTCCATATCCCAGACACTTACACATGCCCTAATCCAGGCGCAAAAATCAGCGCAACCGACTTCGGCCCAGATTGTGCCTGTCACAACTCCTTTACAACCTCAGACCGGCCGCAAGGCCTTGGCAAAAATGAAACACTCCTCAATGCCACAGATGGACAGCCATGCACCTGTCACAGATGGCGCGTCTATACAACCGCGCAAAAGAGCCACTAGCCGGGCAAAATCGGCTAGATTGTGGAAAAGGGCAAGAGCCCAAGTTGATTCTGAGTCTGATCTCAGCGACATTGAGGAGGAGGCTTCTGTTGTTTCGGAAGATCCATCGGATCCCGACTCAGATTGCCCGGCCGAGGACTACGGCCATTCTCAGGACTACAGTCCGCTCCAGTCAGACATGCCTGTTGTAGACCACAAGGGGATGTAGATATGATTGTGGATCAACACGGTGCACCCCTGTTTGATCCCGACCTATTACGCCACCCACGGTCGGCGGAATGGTCCCCCCCAGAACATGTGGCCAAATATATAGCGTCTAGGGTACGCAAGCCTTTAGAAAAGGCGACACGGAATAAACTACGGGCAGAATGCCCGCGCCCCAGATGATGCCTGCAGCACACCTGCAGTTGACCCAAAGATTACCCAATTCTTGGGAAAGACAGGCTGGAAGCCCAACAAAGGCTTGGAGTTTGCCCTGCGCAATTGCCAAGACAAGGTCTTGGACATCCTGGGCCCAGCTACCAAAATATTCGAAGTGGTCCAAGATGACCAAGAGTTGGATCGGGCCGCCATAAATGGATGGATCCAACGGATTATTTGCCTGATTGGCAATGCCAACACGGCAATAGCCACGGAACGCCGCAAGGCGATACTATTGAAAATAGAACCGAAATTGGTTAATATGGCCCTGAACGAACCGGGCGCCCAAGCTAAGGGTCTCCTATTCGGAGACAATTTTGTCAAGGAATTGGGCTCCTTTGTCCATACATTTACTGCCCTAGATAAGGCGCAATCCAACATGCGCAAGGTGTTTCACCCCAAGGTTTTTGGTGGGGCCGGAAGAGCAAGGAGCCGTCTGTCCGGCCGTGTTAACAGAAGTTCTTTTAGACAGAACAGAGGCTCCTATACGGGACGAGGCAGTTTCACGGAACACCGCAACGCTCCGGCGTTCTTCCCACAGCGTGGGCGGCCATGGGTTGCCCGTGGACCACGGAATGCCCACTCCGGGCGACGACCTTACGGTAAGTCCTCTCCATTTACATTCTTCCCTATGGGCAGTGGGGGGCAGACTCCGACATTTTTCCCACATGTGGGCTCGCATATCGTCAGACTCTTGGGTGCTAAACACCATAAAAGGATATACAATAGATTTCCTGTCCCTACCCGTGCAATTCTCCCAACCACGAGAAATGTCTTTTTCCCTAGCAGACAAGACCCTGGTCACCCAGGAAGTTTCAGACTTACACCACAAAAAGGCCATTTCAGAAATCCCAATGGCCACGGCAGGTTATGTCAGCAACCTGTTCCTGGTTGCCAAGAAAGGCGGCGGGGTCCGCCCAGTGATCAATCTGAAACAACTCAACACTTACGTCTCTTACAACCATTTCAAAATGGAAGGAATACATTGTCTAAGAGATCTCCTCCAACCAGCGGATTGGATGGTGAAACTGGATCTCAAAGACGCTTATCTTACAGTGCCGATCGCCCGGCACCATCAGGATTTCCTGCAATTCATCTGGCAGGGCAAGAAGTGGAGGTTCACCTGTCTCCCTTTTGGGCTGTCATTGGCCCCGTGGTGCTTCACCAAACTCATGAAGCCCGTGACGGCCTTTCTTCGGAGCCGAGGAGTGCGTTTTATAATCTATCTGGATGACATCCTCATTATGGGCCAATCCGCCCAAATTGCACGGACCCATTTGAACTGGACTCAGACCCTATTACAGAACTTGGGTTTCCTCATCAATTGGGACAAATCCATCTTGACTCCCACTCGGCACATAGAGTTCTTGGGTCTCATCGTAGACTCCACGTCTCAGACCCTACATCTACCGATGTCGAAACTGAACAATATCAAAAAGGAAATCAAACGCTCCCTGGCAGCTCCTCAGCTGTCCCTCAAACAGTTGGCAAGGGTGATTGGCCTCCTGGCGGCCTCCATACAAGCCATCTTCCCGGGGTCGCTCCACTACCGGGCGTTACAACGCCTTCACGCTGTCAACCTGAGAGACGGGGTCGCCTACACAGATCTGATCACTCTGAACTCGGAAGCGAAGGACGAACTGACATGGTGGCTCTACCATATGGAAGCCTGGAATGGTCGAGCCATTTTTGGCACCGCACCAGATCTGGTAATAGAATCAGACGCGAGTTTACACGGCTGGGGTGCTCGCTGTGGAGACATCTCTACAGGTGGCAGGTGGTCCAACAGCGAAGCTACACTCCACATCAATTGCCTGGAACTCCTGGCAGGATCCTTTGCGATCCGCAGCTTTTCACCGACCCTGGTACAATGCTCTATCCTTCTGAAGATGGACAATATATCGGCAGTCCGATATATCAACCATCTGGGGGGCACGAAGTCAAAGGTCCTGGCGAACATGGCACGAGATTTTTGGCAGTTTTGCCTGACTCAAGGCATTTCTGTGACAGCGGAGTATATTCCCGGGCTCTGCAACACCACGGCAGATTGGTATTCACGACACCTCCGGGACGCCAGCGATTGGCAATTGGACCCCAGGGTATTCCGAACTATTCAATCAATATGGGGCCCCATGGACAAAGACCTGTTTGCATCCCGCTTGAATGCGCAACTTCCCCGATTTTTAAGCTGGAGGCCGGACCCAGCAGCGCTAGCGACAGATGCGTTCACGCAGGATTGGTCGGCCACAAGGAATTATGCCTTTCCACCGTTTGCACTGATTCCTCGCTGCCTCCTACAGTTACGACGACAGTCGGGAACCCTGGTGCTTGTCGCACCGTTATGGCCCTCCCAACCTTGGTTCCCTCCCCTCCTGGAGATGACGGTGGACGTGCCTCAAATTCTCCCACACTCCATTTATTTACTGCAGGACCCAGATGGGGCCCCTCATCCCCTGGTGCAGCAGGATCTGCTACGGCTAACAGCGTGGCTAATTTCAGGGGACCTTGGGCAATCGAGGGAGTTCCGGAATCGACTCTCCGCCTTCTCGAGAACGCATGGGCACCCGGCACAAGACAAGCTTATAAGTCTTCATGGGGCAAATGGCGTGATTGGTGCCTGGAACGAGACTTGGATCCCATATCAGCTCCTGTGAGTGATATCCTCCACTTCCTCACGTCCCTGTTTGAGGATGGCAAGGCCTATCGTACAGTGAACCTATACCGCTCGGCCATTTCAGCGGCACACCAGGGGACTGCGGGTGTCCCGATTGGACGACACCCGTTGATATGTAAACTCCTACGTGGCATTAAATTCACCCGACCCCCGCCCCCACGATATTCGATACTATGGGACGTCTCCGTCGTCCTAAAATTCATTGAATCATGGCCGGACAATGCACAACTGTCCCTGAAACAATTGTCGGCCAAGCTGGCTATACTTCTCTGCCTCATTTCTTGCAAAAGGGTATCCGATGTCAGAGCTCTGGACATTACCGCACGCTCCTACACCCCAGAGGGGGTCACCTTCGATATCTCTCGCAGAACGAAGACGTCCTCTAAGTCGGTGTCATACCCGGCGTTCCCCGACAGACCGCTCTTATACCCAGTCAAGTGCTTACAATCCTATGAGCTACGCACCTCCACATTTCGGGACATGACAAAACAAGAGCTTTTCATATCCTTCCAGAAACCTCACCTACCGGTGTCTACCCCGACCCTGGCGCGATGGGTCAAATGGATGATGTCCATAGCAGGCATTGACACTTCACTATTCTTACCTCACTCAGTGCGAGGAGCAATGGCTTCCAGAGCCTCCATGATCGGTTGTCGACTGGAAGACATTTTGAAGGCAGCTGACTGGTCCTCAGAATCGACTTTCAGGGACTTTTACTTTAAACCCATTCAACACTTCGCGGGATCTATAATTTCCCAGCTTTAAACCAGCATAATAGGAGCCTCCGTGTCTTAATAAAATTCACAGATTTTACTATTAGCATGACGTAAAGTCATGATTTTATTAACGACACGGAGGCGAGTATTATCCCTCCCTCCCATCCCAAGGAAGGATGGAATATGGGTAAGTTGATTTCAAGGTAAGTCCTAGTAATTTGAGATTGATACACGTTAGGCTTGCCAATACTCCACTTAACTGCTCAGACTTCTTAAACAAAGGTCGTGACATTGGACATATTATGAGTTATGTGGACATCCAGTTTAATACAAAGATATTACCATATTTCTCCTTATCTTACAGCTTAACCTTCTTCAGGTCATTGGAAGTTCCCTTGTTACACGGTTCTCTTGTCTGGACTGGATGATTACACTACTTCGGGATCGCAAATAAAGAGGAATTGGATTGGTTCACAGAGCCTATTATGCTGGAGAGTGGAATCCGATTGGCTGTTCCTGTTGCTAGGATACTCCTCTCAGACTGTTTATTGTTACCTTTGATTACGTTTTAAAAAAAAAAAAAATTCTTTGCTGCTGAGGGAAAATAAAGAAAGAGTGCAGCATAATACTCGCCTCCGTGTCGTTAATAAAATCATGACTTTACGTCATGCTAATAGTAAAATCTGTGAATTTTCATTGAACATTCAGACAGACTCTGTTTTACCCATTATTTTTATATAAACTGCAATTGTGACTATGATACCCAGGTTTTATCACCTGCTGATTATACACTTCAACCAATTGGTTTCTATTTTACTGTTCTCTGTTAAATAGTGCAGCCCTTAGCTCCTCTATAATCTTCACTTCTGCATAACCTGTATTCACGTTCCGGGTGTTCAAAATAACGCTGCTGATGCTCTCTCACGCTTGAATTTGCAGGAATTTTTCAGGCTTCATCCATCAGCAGACCCGCATCCCAGAGAACCTCCAAGCTTCTCGGAACTGATTATTCTTTAAGTTCTCTATTACAACATAGTAGGTCTCTCGCACAAGCAGGCTTGTCCCCTAATACAAGGAAAGCCTACTCCAGAGCATATAAGTTTTTTGTTCGTGATCATATAATAAATGTTTTTTTTTGTTGAAACTGTTGTAGCTTTCACTACTTTTTGCCACATCTCTCTTAACTCTACTTAACGGGTATACAACAATACATGTTGACCAGCTATCCCAACAAAACTCAATTTCTACCGTCCTACCCAGTAAAAAGTATCTTAAGAGGTGTTCAAAGATTATCATTACACAATCCCATCAAGAGACTTCCCATAGACAGTAAGCTCTTGAAAAGTATCTCCGATATACTCAACACGTCCCCTTTTGAACACACCACAAACCTAATTATGAAGGCCGCGGGTCTTACTTAGCCTTTTATGGTTTCTTGAGACCCAAAGAGTTTTCAGTGGAGAAAGCATCTGATTCCAAGTCATGCCTCCAGAAGAAACACCTAATTAAAAAACAGGACCACTACATCTTATATATTGCCCATACCAAAACAAGCCAAACAGGTCCTCCGGTAGAAATTAAATACTATCCTACCTCTACCAGATGGTGTCTTACACTAGTTTTAGATAAACTAATGGTGTCCTAGATCACTTCCAACCCAGATAGTCCACTATTAGCCATGGGAAACCCCTAACCACTAAACAATTCATGTTTTACATTCGTACATTGTAGCAGAGTAGCAGGGATTAATCCAAGGATTCTCCACTGGAAACAAAGATTCAGCATACAGAAGTATAAAACACGGCATAATCCCCCTCCCCAAGGACTAGACGACACATAGTCTGGGAGTCAACTGGCTTTTAATGCACAAGCTCTGCTTTTATGTGTTTTTCCCATGCAACTTCCATAATTATTACAGTATCCAATCACATAGTCGTTACCTCCCCCACATCTCCTCCCCTTAGCTTAACAGTTAAACTTATTAAAATGTCCACACTTTCCCCCAATTATTGGATGTACCCCAAATACAGGGGGTACACCTTTAAATGAGGGATCCCCTGGTAGCCCTGATCTGGGTGAGAAACATAATCAAAAATCACCCAGACTGGACCAGGAGTTATTGAAGGGAAAAGATTTGACCGACTGCACGGGCACAGTAGCGAAAATAGTTCCATGAGTTCTGGCCCTGCGGTCGGTCTCAGTTCACGTATAAAAAGTCCCGAAAGTCTTTGCCATCCATGCTTGACTTTGCATTCGGATGAATCCCCCAGTTCCTGGGATTCATCCTACCGAATGCTGGGCTGTTCGTGCGTTTCATTCGTCCCTTTCCGGAGTGCTGGAGGTCTTAGCGGTGCTTGGTTAGTCGAGTATCCGATTTGAGTTCTAGACACTCGACGACCAAACACCGCTGTTCGTGCGTATGATGGCCGCCGCCACGTGTTCGGCAGGCGAATGGCGGCCGCACACAAACCTCAATTACCAGCCTTTGCAACATTGTTGCCTTCGGTAATGAGGGACACACGACTACCCCGGGGTGGTCCCTCATTCGGTATTTTACACGTTTTCGTGGATAATACAATGGATGTAGTTTGTGAACCGATTGCCTGTAGATAACTGTCCTAATAGCAATATGGCCATTTTAATCCAAGTTCATTCGAATCTCGAAAGTCCTTTCTCAGTCTCTTGGTGGCTAGGTTTGCCACATACATTATTACTCCGGTTAGGACACAACCCACACACCTTCTCAGGTCATTCCTTCCTTATTGGAGCAGCTTCAACTTCCTCAAGTAACCACATACCAACTCACATCATTAAGAATATGGGAAGGTAGAAATCATCCGCATACAATAGATACATTCCCAATCCTGAAAAAGAGATAAGAATAGCTTTCCATGACATGTCTAAATAATGTTTGTACTTAATAAACTTATATGTATTTTGAGAAATCGCTTCTTTTATTTTTGCCCTCACGTCAGTTTCGGCACACCTCAGCTGACTTTGCTCTTTCTAATATTGCTTCTTTTATTATTTGTTTCCTTACGTCCTCGAAATGTGCTGTACACAAATATATATACACACACACACACACACACACACTTTTATTATTGGTCTGTACCTTTTTAAAATTATAAATATTAGTAATTCAGGGTAAAAAAAGTTATTATACAGTAAGCATACTCACATGCAGGCACAGACAATCTAATTGACACAAGCACACAAGTTCACTGGTACACTGGCTCACAAACAGGCAATCTCACTGACACACACAAGATCATTGACAAACACAAGACAAGCCTACAGGTACACACAAACTTAGTACAGACAAACTCTTTGACGCGCACACAAGCTTACTACAGACAAACTCACTGGTATACACAAAGATGCTTACTACAGACATGCTCACTGACACACACATGCTCACAACAGCAGGCACAAACACACACACACACACACACAAAAGATCACTCTCACTCACTAGCTGCAGTGTATTTGTTGAAGCCTACCTGGCACTGCAGGCTGCTGCTGTGAAAGCTCTGTAAGGTGATGACTCCATTTCCTGGCCTCCTCCTGCCCGGCGGTGAGCAGCTTGCGTTCGGAGTGTGGGGGGAACTTGCAGCCGGGGGCTGAGCTTGAGTGCCATTGAGTGCTGCGGCCCATCGAAAAATTTTCCGGTATCCCGGTGGGCCAGTCTGCTACACTTCCATCCCTCCCCCATGGACTGGTGGGGGATATCCCAGTCCCTGCCAGGTGGAGAACCTCATACCTTACGCCCCTCGACTGAGCCCGCGACCCTCTCAAGCAAGGTTGGACTTGGAGCCTCCAAGATGGCGGAGGCATTTGCCTCAATTACACGAGACGAGCAACAGCCTACCAGACATGGCATAGACACCCACGTGAAAGACTCAATCGACATAATGAAAATTTTGAAAATTATTATTTTGCCTGCTTCAGCCTATGCCAACACTCGTTACTCTAACAGGGCAGTGTACCAGGGGCGTACACCCAGCTAGCATCAGAGAGCCTGACACGCTCGTTACAGTTGACAGCTATGCAAAAGCGGAAGCGTCTCAGGGATTTAACCCGCTGTTAGCCAGTTAATATTTGCCTCGTCAGTTACTGTATGCCTAGTTAACATGCCTATCAAATCAATCAAAGTTAGCAATTATAACTCAATCTATAAAAAGGAATACATGTTTGCATATGTCACGTTATTAATTTACTTAATCTTCCTAACTACAAAATTGTGCAACTACTAACGTATACCCTATTGTTACAAATGTTTGACAAGCATGAGGATTGCTGTTGGGGCACCCCATGCACGCTTGTGTTTTCATATGCACTACAAAAAAAAAATACAAACAAGATAGGGATCTAGCTGGTATCGCAAAAACATATAAATAAAATACAACATAGTATAATACTGTTACAGCCCTTCAATCGCTCAACACTTCATGGTTACACTCACAGATTAGTTGTATAAAGCAAGCCCTCATGGTGCCCCCCCTGTGGTATGGGGGGCATGTCCTACTGCTGGTGATAGCTCCAATGTGGATCCCAGGAAGGTCACACACTCCAAATGGTATGGATGTAGAAAATATTTATTGGCATATTGTGCTAAAATAATATTGTTAAAAGAGGGTCCTATGCGTTTCGTTCCCGTCAGGAAACCTCCTCATAAAGATGCAATAAAATACACTAAAATGTACCAACAAGCCTAATACTTCACATGCCATTTTCCTATTAAACTGTCTAATATTGCTTAACATTTCCTATTAAACTGTCTAATATTGCTTAACATTTATGGGGATATTTTTCCTATAATTTTAGAACACTTGCCCTTATATGTTTAATTATTCTAAGTTAATCCACATCCCTTTCATTTTTTAGTGTACGGAAATTGCATGTTGATGTGTGATTCAGGGCATTGTGTATTTAGATCATAATTATTTTTATTTTACAAAATTAAAATGAGGCTAAACTAATTTAACTATTTCACAATCTAAATGTTAAACTTTTGGTTCCTTTTGAACTGATGTGCTACATATATTATTCCAACATTTAACCCCTATGCTTCTATCTCCGGCTGGTTTGAATCTAAGGAGCCTCATAACTACTTCAAATAACTTACCAAATCTATATCTACATTGAGTCCTATGGGGGTTAAAGTTTGCAATTTGTGGATCCAGAATGTTTCTCTCTGTGCCAGTTTCTTATCCCTATTGCCCCCCCTCCAATGTGGTGAGATTCGCTCTATGCCCACACAGGTTCGGTCTTTTAATTTAAAGGCTGGGCATGAATTACAGTGAACTGGTACTGAGTGAGATATTAGCCCTTTTTGATAATGTTCTAACTTTGAAAGCTCTTTTAGTGCGGCCTACGTACTGCTTGCCACACGGACACTGCAGTAAATATACTACATAGTCTGTGAGGCAGCCAATACTGGCCTTAATGGGAAAAGTCTCACCTGTTGCTTTACTGGCAAATTGAGAGCTTTTACCTAAAGTTGTTGTTAGAAATTCTTTGCATTTATTGCACCCTTTAAAGCCCTTATCTCCTTCATTTGGTTTTTCCTTTTGTTTTATGGCATAACTAAGGGCCAAAAAATTCTTTCAATTTTTATTTTTCTTAAAAATGAATGTTGTTTTTTTTGGTAATGTTTCTCCTAATATCAGGTCCTCTAATAAAATGGGCCAATATTTTTGTAAACTTTTTTTAATCTTCCAATAGTCTGTATTGTATTATGAATGCACTACAAAATTGATCTCACATCCCATTGGGTTTCGGATTATCCATCAATAATTCATTCCTATCTTTACCTGACATAACTCGAATTACTCTTTCAAGTGTATTCTTACTATAACCCTTCTTGACCAGTTTATTTTTACATATGCTGTGCCTTTTGTGTAAAGTTACGTCTTACTCTTGTTAGCTGTCCCTTCGCTATCCCTTTCAACCACGGTTGATGGTGACAGCTTTTTTTGTGGACATAACTGTTCCCATCTGTGGGTTAAAAAAAGCATTTTGTTTTTATTTCTCCCTCCTCACAAAATAAAGTAATATCCAAAAAAATAATTTCCTTTTTGTTCCAAATTGGTGAAAACCTCAGATTGTAATTGTTTAAGGGCCCCGTCCAAATGATCAAAACGTCATCTATAAATCTCCGCCATAGCACCAGGTTTCCCACCCAGTCATAACCAGACCATACATAGAGATCCTCCCATCTCCTCAGTAGATATTGGCATAACTGGAGGCAAACCTGGTGCCGATGGCAGTCCCAGTGGTCTGCAATTAAAAACACCCTTCAAAGAAAAAATAATTATGCTCCAAAATTGTGGCGGAACAGACCTCGCCACGTGTTCTTGGAGGGGGCTGCTTGCCCGCCACCTACCTTCTGACTATGGCCCTGGGATATATGGCATTTGAAAACACTATTTGTGCCCTGTGACAAAACTGGAGATTGTGCACAAATATGACTATTGTCCATATTTTTTATGATTCCCTTCGTTTGTTGCACTGTTCCCCATGTGTTTCATCTGTTGGTTCGGCTGGATAGACTACCAGACAAACTGTGGAGTTACTGGGTGGCCACCATTTCATGTATCAGAGGCACATAGTGAGAACAATCGATGAATCACATGGTGGAGACAATGGATACAAGGTGCCATCTCGCCGGTATTTGGTGCACAAAGACATTGTGCAGTAGTTTTAAACTATACAACAGGGGACACATTATGCAGTAATTATTTTTCATATAGCCTGTATATGTTCTGCGGAATCTGCATTAAACTGTATCTTCCAAACTACTGAACGGATCTGGGTGAATTTTGGATATGTGGTTCACCCAGATCCCCCAGTACCGAGGATTTTTATGGGGTTACTGCATGTTTTGGGCTCCCTGTGATATGTTTTATAATACTTTATTTCTCGGCCTGCGATAATTATATTAACCATTGTGTTCAGTAATCATATCACAGGCAGAAGGGAGGATTTTGTGTGGGAGTGTCTGTGTGTATTGTACGGATTGATTGGTTGTATTTCAAAACCCTGTGGGCAGTACTATGTTTGTGGATTGTGAATAAAAGAGGCTGGATGTGCCAGTACAGTCAGTTCTGCTTGACCTCAAAACGAAGTGTCGTCTCGTTATTGGGGGAATTGGATTGTATGCTGATTGCCAGGAGTGTAAGCTGATTGTATGCTTTTCCTGTTCAGCTGCTTACAGCATTCATATACTTGAGAGCATCTGTATGCTTCTCCTGTTCGGTGGTTGTGGTGTCTGCTGCAGTGCTTGGAGTCCTCAGGAAGCGCTTGGAGCATCCTTCAACGGAGGTACCCAGTCGGGGTGCCAGGTGATCCGTTACAAAAATAAATTTTACTGCCCTCAGAATGAATGTTTTCATGTTACCTTAACCTTTACTACAACCCTACCCATAAGCTTACCCTTAACCCTAACCCTAGTAGGGTTAGGGGTAGGGGTTTGGGGTAGGATTAGGGTTAGAGTAAGGGTAGAGGTAGGCTTAGGAGTAGGGTTAGGGTCAGGGGTAGAGTTAGGGTTAAGGGTAGGGTAAGCGTTAGGATTAGGGTTAGGGGTAGAGGTAGGGTTGGGGGTTAGGGTTAGGGAATTTCCAAAGTCCTGGATTTTGGAAGTCCTGAATTTCAGAAGTGCTGAATTGCCAAAGGACCCAATTTCGGAAGTGCTGAATTGCCGAAGTCACGAATTTCGGAAGTGCCAAACCGAAGTGCCGAATTGCCAAAGTCCCGAATTTCGGAAGTGCCAAGCCGAACCAAAATTTTTTGCCCATGCACATCCCTAAAATCCAAAAGCATTCACATTGTTTAAGAAATTTATCATAGTCACCTCTTCTTTGGTCACGTTTGACCAATTCCAGAGCACAGAAGCAAAGTCCATTAGAATCACCCGAATGGAATTCCTTCAGGTGACTGGAGATGGGGGTTTCAAGGCTTTTTTTTGGTGAACGTACATGTTCTTTGATCCTTTCTTTGAAGGGTCGAAAGATTTTTCCAACATACTTCATGTCACACTCACAGGTGAGTAAATATACCAATCCTGCAGTGTTGTAATTAAAGAATGAATTCATTTTGAATGAAACGGTATTATCCCCGCTTACAGGATATACGGCGAGTATCCTCTTCTATGTGGTGGCAGACGGCCAGGTGGGAGATAAAAAGGGAAACAATAATGGTGCAGTATGTTCCACACGTGCAATAAAAGATATTAAAATATAATAGATACACTCACATTCGGTAGAGCTTCTGCTAGCTCTAGTTTGTTAGGCGTACAGCGGTATAATCCCCGCTTATAGGATATAGGATGAGTAATCTTGACGGGAGTATCAGGAGCTTGGAGAGAAGATAAAACAGCGATAGTGCTCTCAATAAAATATTGGTGGTGTATAAAATATACTCACAGTGTATAGGGCAGGCTACCTGCTCTATGTTAAAAGCGTAGGTGGTATAATCCCCACCTAGGATTCTTTGGAGTATAATACCAGGAAATAAAAACGTTTGTCTATCTATTCCTAAGGACATTAGTGGGAGTCCTTGCCTGGGACTGCTGCCTTTTCGATTAGCGCTGACTCTACTCTCTGTTTTGTACACATATAGGCATACATACTGAGACATACACACATAAACAGACACACAGACATATATAGTGACAGACAGACACATACTAACATACATACATACTGACAGACAGACACACAGAGCACAATTCCCAGCCACCCTCCTGTTTCTGGGGCTGATGGGAGTCGGTGCGGCTCTCCCTCACTGCCTGGCTCTCCTCCTGCGCGGAGTGTGCTGGGATAAACTGACCCCTTCCTCCCAGCAGCACTGGCATTGCAGCTGCGTTTTGTTTGTTTTTTAAAGCGGCCCGGTCGCGCTATTACACGGCCACAGCGCTGACGGGGCCCCTGATGATATAGGGCCCCGTCAGCGTGCGGCCGTCACGGTTGTCACCCCCTGATGGCGGCCCTGTCTGTCTGTTTCTGTGGGGGCGAGACGCGTTGGGGCGCAGTAGTTGGTGTATTTACTAGATTGTAAGCTCCCTGGCAGAATCCCGTTACTATAATATTACTATATGTTCCTTGTCAGTATTCCCCCTATTGTACAGCACTGCAGAATATGTTGGTGCTAATATTAACACATAATAAAACTCTCTCAATCAGACTGAGAGCTGGGAAGACTGTCTGCATATGTTAATAAAGTTTGAAAATACAAAGTAGAGCTGTAAACATTAGAGAACTCTGCCCACCTGGGGCTCCAGCAGGTGGAATGTGATTGGAACCTGGACAACCTGGAGTGGGCGGGGCTAGAGTCATGTGACCCCCCACAAGAGCACGTGGACACCAAGTCATGTGAGTAACCAGGAAATGATCCAATTGCTGAGAGTGTTATACAGAGAGAGACCCAGTGTGTGTGTTATACAGAGAGAGAGAGACCCAGAGAGTGTTATACAGAGAGAGAGAGAGAGAGAGACCCAGAGACCCAGAGTGTGTTATACAGAGAGAGAGAGAGAGAGAGAGACCCAGAGTGTGTTATACAGAGAGAGAGAGACCCAGAGAGTGTTATACAGAGAGAGAGAGAGACCCAGAGTGTGTTATACAGAGAGAGAGCCAGAGTGTGTTATACAGAGAGAGACCCAGAGAGTGTTATACAGAGAGAGAGCCAGAGTGTGTTATACAGAGAGAGAGAGAGACCCAGAGAGTGTTATACAGAGAGAGAGACCCAGAGTGTGTTATACAGAGAGAGAGAGACCCAGAGAGTGTTATACAGAGAGAGAGACCCAGAGTGTGTTATACAGAGAGAGAGAGAGACCCAGAGAGTGTTATACAGAGAGA